GGTTAGAACTTGTTTAGGAAAGGATCCTATTCCTAAATAATTTTTTCCTTATTGCATCGTCACACACCTTAATTATTTACTATATGCTAGAGAGACCGCCTCCACAAGAAGGACAAGTCGTGAGAACCTCTTTTCTCTCAATGGAATCTTCCCCGTGTTGCAGTGTCCAACTTGGGATGAAGCAGGAATTCGGGTGGGGGAGGAAGCAGTACGAAGAGAAGACGTCCTAGACGAGAATACCGGCGCCATTCTCTCCATCTCTCCTGGGGTGTTGGAAGCCATCGATGAGAGGTTTTCTCAGTCTTCTCCATTCAGCGATTGGGGATATGTGTGGACTGGTGAGCAGAACATTTCCGCGAGCGATCATGCTAATTTATTTTAGGTTGATGTGGATGCACGACTGAATCATTGAAGAAGAGAGTCTTTTCTCCTTTGTATATATTAACTTTAAATGAAACCTTTTCTTTCCTTCACCATTGAATATGAATCACATTAGCGTAATACGAAATTAATGAGCTAACAATTTGTATTCCAATATTCCTTTAAGTACCATCTCATCATTGTTATATCAAAATTGATGTCAATACCTTATCTAGTAATCTTAGCTGTCACTTTCAATGTCCATTGCTTTGAGAAAATGTTAAATTGTGTTATTTGAAAAAGAAACAGAAAATTTAACATAATATTAATATATGATGCACTTCTTACCAATTTCCCCCGAAATCTATATTCATTTGAAATGCTTTGGTATTGGCAAACTTTGCTTCATACAGTTAACATCAGGCTGCCAATGACTTCACACAATCAGAATTAACGTATATCGACAATTAAAAATACTGTACTTTTGACCCGTTGGAGTTTTACATTTGTAGATGCGGGAACAAATAATTGATGCTTAACATGCATAATACAGGGTGACAATTCACTCATAGACACATTTGACTTGAAAATTAATTCCTTCATTTGGATAGTCCAAATTCAATATACCAAAAATTTGAAAGGACATGAAATGGAAATTTTGTTGCCATACACATTTGTTTAGTCATATATTGATATATATTGGACTTGAAGTAGCCCGACAAAAATGCCTGGAGCAGGAACTTGCCATACAATCATTGAAACAAGACAACTTTTGCAACCCCTTTAGTGGGGCTACTTAAAGTCCAAGGTCTATCTGAACTGTACTGTAAAACATCAGACACGAAATAAGCCTCATTTCTCCTGCAACTCATCAGCCAGTCATGGAAAACAAAATGTTCCCGCTGCCGTGAATGCATCCGTTTCGGCGGAAGTTTTCTGACATCAGTCTTTCTCAAAATTTAAAGAAAAGTGTATGCCAACAATATTTCCACCTTATGTTCTTTCAAGTGTTAGGTACCTTGAATTCGAGCTATCCAAATAAATAATTTATTAGCAACTCAAATGTGCCCATGAATTATACTCTTTGCAACTTGCTTTTAGATGGTTCGCAATTCATTTTTCGGCATAATTTTCCTGGTTTTGCAGAATGGAAGGTGAATATAGGTGTAATGCCTTGAAAAATTCGCGTTTTACCCGAAATTTCGGCGCCCAGGAGATGAAATTCAAACAACTTTCCGAGAGGAATCATCATTTTCGGTATCCTGTATTTCTATTTTGGTATTCATTCTCGTAGTTCGTTTGTGGAAGGGAAGAAATTGAAGTGCGACGACAAAAAAGTTCGAGCTGGAGATTGAGTTTACCAACCTTCGATCGGAGAAACCACCGATGGGAGCTTTTCAGTCGGATATCTACCACAATAGTGAGTGACGGGCGAAATTGCAGGAACTCACTGCAACTCTTCAGAAATCTTACACTCTGCGTGATTAGGAAGCCAACCGTTGTCAGCAATGTATTCTGATATCAAAGAGCCCCCTTGATGTGGATTATAATTCATTTTAAAACATTTTCCCCTTTGCTTCTCAATGGAAGGGGGGAATAACGCTGCGAATTTGGATATCGTTGTTCAGTATGAATTTTCGCCACAGAATGATGCTCGGCAGGCTTTGCCCTTGGGCTAATATTTATGTCACCTTATATCGGGATTTAAGCATTTCTCCCTATATTTCGTCATTTAAAAGGCTCAAAACGGACGATCGGCAATTGAAATTCATTGAGGAAATTGGATTTCGACCCAAATGACGATATTCGGCACTCGGGCCCACTTTCAGCCGGATCAAGCTATCATGTCGTAGTGACATCTTTCCAAATTAGGGAGAAGTTTTCTTCGCTTTTGACAGAGATGCGGGTGGAACTTTTGCCTATCCCAAAGCCCTTCTGACCGAATTCCCATTCCACTCATGAGAACGTCTAATAGCAGTTTCCTCAGAAACGTCTCCAATTTGCATTCGCGGTCCGCTCTACCAAGGAGCAATCTGTGAGCCTTCACTCGAATCATTTCAATATCATTTTTGCTCGTCAATAGCGAATTTTAACCAGAAAGGGTCACGTGACAATGCATTCCAGATTCCGCTTCGAATCTTGAGACTCCATTCGCCGTATTCCATATACAGTTTCACATTGGACAGTAATAAAATAATGTTCCCTTCGGAAGACCGAAAATGACATTTCATTGCCGAAACCAGGTGTCTCCTAATACATTCTATCCCTCATGGACGATAACGGTTATCTTTTTGCCGGAAATGCGTTCTATTTTCACCGATACTTAAGCAGACATTCTTCAACTATGGAATACCGAAAATGAAATACGAATCTCTTACCAGCGAATCCCAATTGACATACATCATTTTTTCACCGTAAACTCGATTGCAGGCTGAATGTAGAGCGTTTTTGCAGTCTCAAAGGTTTTCATTACTTAAATTATCAAATAGCCCTTCCCATTCCCCTCGAATGAATACCACATGATTATCCACGGGGTAGTCTCAAACCTCCTCCTAGGTTTCACACTAGAGCAAATAATGCTCTTCATAATGGCTGCTACTTTCATTCCCAATTGCTTTGACATAATTAGTGTATTCCATCGTCAGAATTTTAAAGCAAACATGCTCGTTGACGACCTTCAAACACCACGGACGATCTCGGGATTCTAGTCGCCGTTTTTCATTTACAGTTTTGCTTCCATTGGAAACTCCGAAAATGACATTTCATTGCCGGAACGGTATTTCTCAGGATGAGATCCAGTTCTCATGGATGAAAGTCGATTCTGATTTGCGACGTTGTTCACTCGCCAAATGCAGAAAATGAATTGCAAACCATCTGAAAGCAAGTTGCAAAAGGAATGAGTGTCTCTCTTCTTGAAAGCACAGAAGGGAAGGCGCGTAGGGATATGCCGTTATATTATTTAATAATATATAAATAAAACACATAATAATAAAAATGAGTTCGTTGGCCCGAAGGGTAGAAAAATTCGCTAGTCTAATGAACTGGGAGGTATCAGAAAATAAATTTCCCATGTCTCATACAACAAAAATGTTAGTATGATAGTGATGGTGTATATGCATCATCATAATGGCAAATATGCAATTAATATGTCCTGTGCTTCCTGCCCTACCGACCATACACTGCCCGCAGGAAGCATGAGCCGTGACAATGCCAAAAAACAGCACGCTTAGAAGTGTACACAAATTGTGAGGTCCGCAGTGGGATTTGGTTTTGTGGGCAAATAACCATGCATTCTTCGATATCCACTGTCTGATCTTTGACGTGAATGGTGACGATGTAGTATCTGAGCAAATGGTAACGAGGTCGTGCCTTGAGTATGCTGGGGGCCGCCGAACGAGTGTTAAGAATGTGCGCTCGTGCCCAATGACATCGATGAGTGAGGTCAACATTGAACGAATGAATTGTCTAATATGGGAGGACCACTGGGTAACTTTACACACCTTTGCTGGCAATATTGGCATCTCTTATATGTCGAAATTGCAATTAAAATCCCACTAAAATGAGACCTCTATATTCATTAGAAGTTATTGCAGAATCAGTTTCACAATTCCGGTCCGTTTGGGCGCAATGAGTCAAAAATTGGTGCCAGTCAAATGCATCAGGAAGTCGGTGGAAGATATAACATATTGGATGAAATAAATATCTTTTAATCGATTCTGCTACATGAATACCGATTATCATCCAATTCGGTGATGGTCGAGCTCACGCTCTAGTCGAATTGGCGTGGAATGGCAGCGCCGTATTATACTATAGGAACCCGTGGAAGAAAGTAGCGGTAAAGAAGGTAAATCATTGCATCTTCATTTTCATTATGCTTTTGCAAGGGATGTGTCACTAAATGCTTTCAACTGCAGCAATGGGTAGCTATCTAACCACGGACAAAAGCATTGACAGACAGACGGGTTGGACAGGACCGAAAGTGCTCTCTATCGTTCTCTCTATCTATCGGCCTACTGATGAGTATCACATGGCTCCAAAATATTTATATTTGAATTTACAGGCGACTTCTTCTCCAGGCCACAGTTGGTACCGCCACCGGCACCAGTGGATGGTTATGAGGAAAAAATTGGCAATCGACCCACCGGCCAATTGATGCCACCGGTACAGCCCTTTTAAAAAGGGTTTAAGAAATTCATGCTGTTGTCACCCTGGAAAAGGTGATCCAAGGCATATGAAGGGAATAACCTTAACTCCTGAAATATGGCGCCCCTTGCACGACAATGCACGGTGCCACACTGCAGCGGCGACGGTGTAAATGTAGGAACGACTCCAGTGGCAGGTTCTTCACCTTCCACCATACAGTCCTGACTTGGCTCCCAGCATCCTCTGTTCCTTGCATCATACAGGTTCCAAACTGACAAGTGAAGCAGGCCAGCCGGGTGTGGTTCCCATGTCACAGAGTCGACTTCATTCTCGAGGAAAAACCTTCTTCCCGATGGGACAAATGCATGAATGTCGGTGGTGATTATGCAGAAAGGTGGAATGAAAACATGGATACATGGCCATTGCATATAAGTGATCCAATGACAAGTCAACCAATGAGTAACAACCGACAATCTCAGATGTTGATTGAAGTTGTTATGCAAGGTGATTAGGTCCGAATAGACGGAAGAATAAAGTGTCAGTTCCATCGGGTCAATTGGTCAGACGCTACAGGGTGGTCGAAATGAGGTGTATGATTCTAACCTCCAATTTTGATATCCCTGTAACTAAAAAATTATTCGTACTAGAACCTTGACTAAGGTGTCAATTCACTGGAAATGGCCTAAAATATTCCAAATGTGCATTAAAATATTACTTGGATTAAAAACGCATTGTTTTCAATATTAATGGATACAAAATGTGACCTTTGAACTTCTCATAAACCCTCCAAAATTAAATTCTAAAAAAATACATGTAAATGTGAATGACTCTGCTTCGAATATGCAGAATGACAGAGTAGTTATATTTGTTTTCCATAAAAAAAGTTAATCAGAAATCCCTACCACAAATGAGGCATTCCAGCTCAAGTAATCGAAATCCTGATTGTGCGTGCTACTGGGATGCAAAAATTAATGCATGGTGACCTCTCTGCGATATGAAGGCCTACCAAAAATCAAAGTTCCAGCCCAAACGGTTTAAAAGAGACTGAACCCAAAAAATTTGCCTCCAGGGGGTAAGAGTCACAGAAAAGTCAGACGGGTACATTTGGCCCTTATAGGCGCGACTATAGCGAGTTTGTTTGCCCGAAGGGCAAACAAACTCCCTAGTATATAACAAAAGTAGAATTTTTTATTTACTCAGCGATCCATCAGATTATTTGCCAAGTCTAAACTCTCTACCTCTAAAACCTCTGTTTTGCTGGATCAGGAAAATTCGAGAAAATACGCCATTTGCAATAGATATGCCTTCGGCGTTTTAAATGAAATGTACCTTTTTTTTTACTCTTCAGAGTGCTACATGCCCACTAAGTTTCAACCTTATACGTTTGCCCTTTTCGTTGGTGAAAAAACATGTTTGGAAAAGCCGACGCACCCAAAGGCTATGCCGGGAGGGGATGCACCATGAAAACAATACATAATAAGACCATGTCACTTTTACGTGTGCAAAATTTCACCTTTCCATGTCTGCCCAATTTGCCACAACAAATATTTTTTTTTAACTTTGCCCCTCGAAAAAATTCTCGGAGGGGATGTATCGAGACCTTCTTTCTTTTTTTTTACTCCTCGTCTCAGTAGTCACACGCATGCAAAGTGTCAGCTTTCCATGTTCATTACTTTAACTGATGCAAAAAAATATTTTCGAAAATATCTCGTATTGAAATTTTTTTCACTTCCAAAGTCTGAAATTTTCTTTCAGCAGCATCCCAATAGGTTGTTATGTACCAAGTTTCGTCTTTCAGAACCAGCTCAATACGTCAGGCTAAAAAAAAATTACATGATTACGTCGGCCCCTAAAAATATGCCCCCACAGGATATGGAACTTATATGTTACATTTTTCCTAAAGTCATCGTCTCGGTTCTCATGTCCATGCCAAGTTTCAGCTTTCCATGTCTCTCCGTTTTACAAAACCAAAAAGAATCTTGCAAAGGGGGAATGAGTAACGCGACTTGGAAGGCGTAGGAGGCCGAAGGAAAGCCTATGAACGGCTGGGAATTCAACGCGGGTCTCCTGATTGGCAGGTGTGCTACCACTACACTACCGAACCCGTGACATCAAGTCAATCCTCTCAATGCCATCCTAATGCGTCACAATATACCTAGGTATATCATTTAAAACATCTCCCCCCAAAATGTGTACCCCTAGTGCATGTTCCTGCAAAGTCGGATTTTTTCTGGACTCTGCATCCCAGAAGGTACATGTGTACCAAGTTTCAGATTTCTAACTTCTCTACAACATGGTTAGAATTAGCGTCCGTCAGTCTGTCACGATCGTCTATATATATTAGAAAATGTTGCTGATGGGATATATCCCCTCAGAGCATTTCTTGCTGTGATATCGTACAATGTGAATGCTCTGGCGAGACCTCATCAAATAAATCTAAGAAAACTTACAGATACCATGATACATCCAAGATTGTGTTTTGCTATGCCTAAATGTTTCAAACATGACTAACACAGAAACTACTTCTTTCCATCACCAGGTTTTTCCAAAGGACACATTCAATAAAAGCAATACTGTATTCCTTTTAAGTATAATAATACTGTTTCCCTCCAGCTCCATAGCTGTGCTGCTACGTTTTCCTTTTTTACATTTTCCATCAATTTCACTAAAATCCTTTGTATCAGGTTGGAGAGGAGAGGTGTCTGCAGTTGATGAAGAAAAGAACAAGAGAATCCTTGAAGTTCTCAAGGAGAAGGGAGTGGAATGGGAGAATGAGAGGAACCCCCCAATGGCCCTCGAGACCAGGACTGGGAGTGGGACAACCGGATTCTTAGAGTCCCTATCCGTTTCGCTCACAGGATCCCTCCTCCACCTGCCTCTCCTGAAGGTCTCTTTCTACCCATGACTTATCACATCCTCTCCTTTCTTCTCAATCCTAGTAATCTTTTATATACTGCCATATAACTTATTGCAGAAGTAAATTTTTAGTCCTAATTTGGAGAAAGTTCATGAATAACCACAACATGGTGATCAAAGAAGTATCCCTAGTTTTGGCCCTTAAACTGTTTTCAGATATAGGGGTATATTTTGAGAGGACATCCTTAGCCAAACTGAAAAAGCTTCTTTTTTTTCAAACCTGAGCAATTTCGAGAAGTTACGTTACATTAGGTTTAAGTTATGGTTAAACAAGGTTGGCCCATTAAACCAATTTTCGTGAAATTAATATCCATTTAATGGGTTTCACTTGTGAACATGCAATGGAAAATTGTATCCAAATGTTAAGGGTTTCAAAAATGCAGGTCAAGTTAGGTAAGGTTAGGTTAAATTATTTTACTAATTTCAAATGGAACTTCAAATAAATGACCTCCGCATGGCCAAAGACTTTGAGCATCATTTTGAAAGTTATTGGTGAACTTCAGCTTGGAATTGGAAGATCTAGCAAAGACGTTTGCATATATGAATCATTGAATTCAATTAAGGGTCAAAATAACATTATTTTGGGTATTCCACTTCATAATCGAGCAAGTAATTACTTACTGCTTCTACTATTTCCTACATAGAGTGCCAGAGATTTGCCTTTGCATCTGGTAAATGGACCAAAGATTGTATACTTTGCGACTTAAATTCCCATACGGACTCTTTGAATCAGAGGATTCATTTCAGTCAACAGTGAGTAACTGCAAAGGAATGATGGATTCATCTACCAATACCTGTGAAATAAAATGCGCGTCCATAGAGATTTCATGGGAAAATGAGGAAAAGATCCATGTGGAATACATGTCAATTTTTCCAGTAAAAGGTTCTTTTTTCATTTTCTCTTCTAATTTTATATGTGCTCTATCAAGGGTCTTTTGAAGGCAAAATAAACTGATTTCCAGAAAAAATATTGTGTCAAAATGAAAGACTGACAAAGTATAAATTGAAATCAGTATTTTTTTTACATAATTCTAAAAAAAAGCTATCATTTTCTATGTTCTTTGAATGTTCTTTTGAGCACCAACCTACCTATAAAATTTTCTAAATGTTTTTTTGGCTGATAGAATACTTTAACTTTCAAATATTTAATTACACTGTTACCTTTTGTTGCAAGTCGTAAATGATAAAAAGCTCGTCCTTTGTATCAGAAAAACATTATCTTCTAATTACATGATTACGCAGTTTTTTTGGCGTGAAAAACTCCTGTCTGCAAGGAAGATATTTCAACACCAATTGTTTGCGATTTTCCAAGAGAGAGAACAAAGTCACATCAGATGTGCACTGAATTCGGTTATTTGCCTTTGTTTTTGCTTGGAATTGAAAATGTTCATGAATTAATTGATATTTTTTACTATGGTCGCGCTTTCGGAGCTCCAATCCGTTGCATAGTGATTACTTCATTTATTCTTTGCCAAATGGCAGACACGCATTTAAAGTACGTCCCCAATGAAATACGTGACATATGGGACGAAAGTTTTCATTTTTCATAAAAAATCATTATTCCTATTATTTCTAGTGTGCCCAACTTGAAATTTTTTCATGTCTCTTTTTGTAAGGGTGGCGAATACATTTTGAATTACTTCCCCCCTATAACCTACGCTAAGGGGACATATTTCAAAAGCAGGATTTTTCTTGTACTCAGCCATCAAATAGGTACTTCTGAGGAAATTTAAAATTTTCTGTCTCTGTTTCGTTGGATCAGAAAAAAATTCAGGGAAATGGGATGTAGGAGGTACTTTTATAAAGATGATGAAATCACGGTAAAAGATAATGCGCATGTCCGGCATAACGGAATAAAACGGTCGCGCGGGGACTCGCGGGGGTCGGGTCGGGTCGGGTATGTCAAGTGAGTGAGTCGGACAAGGAAGTGAATTGGAGGATAGTGTGCAGAAGCCTGAGAGAAGACGCGGGATATTGAGTGGACGCTTTACATCATTGCTGGAGATCGTATGCTGTCTGTCACCCCACCCATACCACTCGGGTTGATATTCAGGTATTGCTCGTTGAGTACCTATTGCCTAATAAGCGTTTAAGTGAACAGAATTTTGAATTTTTGCCCCATATCTATTTCCTGGTTCTCATTATTATTGACCTCTTTCCAAGCTGGTTGTCACAATAAAGTAATTGTATATTTGAGGTGTCAACGGAATCATTATAAACCTCAAACACGCTGGCGATCTCTTCGTGATAGTCATTAACGATAAATCATGTCGGAGCCGGCAACAGGGACTTAAAAAAAAGTGCCCTGCTGGGTTTTAACGAACTTTTTTTTTCTTCCTAAAATTTAGACTCAGGGAACTCAATGCCAACATGTTTCACCCTCATACGTTTCCCCTTTATGATGGAGGTAAAAAATGTATTGAAAAAGCGACCCATCCAAAAGCTATGCTCTGAGGAAACGCACAGCAAAAGTTTCCTTTTTCTTTAAATCAACATCACGTCCGTTATGCGTGCGCCAGCTGCTACTTTTCTATTTCTGCCCGATTCGCTAGGATATTAAAAATTATTTGAAAACGTTTCGTCCGCAAGAAACATCCCCACAAAAATTCCAATATTTTGAAAATTGGGCATTTTTCCTGAGCTCCGTGCTTCAGCAGTCACGTTCTTGCCAAGTTTCAGCTTTCTATGTGTCTCCGTATGATTGAAGCAATAAAAGCTATTTGAAAATATGTTCCCCGAAAAGGTGTGCCCCTATGGCATATATCACCAAAGTAGAATTTTCCTGAACTCGGCATGCGAATAGCGACTGATGTCAGTCAGTGAGCTACTCACTATTCTCTGTATATAATACAAGTATAATTTTTTTTTACTCAGCGATTCATCATATTCTTTTCCAAGTTGAAACTTTCTAGCGCCCTCTTTTTCGCTGGATCAGGAAAATTCGAGAAAATACGCCATTTGCAATAGATGTGCCTTGGGGTATTTTAAATGAAAAGTACCTTTTTTTTAATCGTTCGGAAAGCAACATGCCTCAAAGTATCAACCTTATACGTTTGCCCTTTTCGCTGGTGAAAAAAAAAGGTTAAGAAAGGCCGACGCACCCGGAAGCTATGCCCGGAGGGGATGCACCTTGAAAACAGATTATACAATAACACCATGTCACTTTTACGTGTGCAGAGTTTCACCTTTCCATGTCTGCTCAATTCGCCACGACAAATTTTTTTTTTAAATATCGCCACTCGAAAAAATTCCCCGAGGGGATGTATCGAGACTTACCTTTTTTTTTACTGCTTGTCTGAGAAGTCACACGCATGCAAAGTTTCAGCTTTCCATGTTCATCAGTTTAACTGATGCAAAAATTATTCGAAAACATCTCCCATTGAAATTTGTTCCACAGGGGCATCACTTCCAAAGTCTGAAGTTTTCTTTGAGCAGCATCCGAATAGGTAGTTATGTACAAAGTTTCATATTTCCGCACCAGCTTAATACGCCAGGGAAAAAAAAAAAATTGCATGATTACGTCGGCCCCTAAAAATATGCCCCCAGAGGACATGGAACTTAAATGTTACATTTTTCCTGAACTCATCGTCTCGGTAGGCACGTCCATGCCAGGTTTCAGCTTTTCATGTCTCTCCGTTTTACAAAACCATATCCGCGACCTAAAGCGCCAGGCTTACAAGGCTACGTCTTTCCAGTCCACATTATACTTTGATTCGAAAACCCCGAGAGTGATGGTAGTTGCCACCCCAGCGCGCGAGGCCTACGAGACTATGTCACTTCAGGCCATAGGCTGGGCCATCCACCCCTCAAAGCACCAGGTTCTTCAGGCTATGCTATTCGAGGCCATAGGCTTGGCCGTCCAAAGCTTTTAGCGCCAATTCTATTGAGCTATAGCAGTCTAAGCCATAGGCTTCGTACTTAGCTGTGTCAACGTTTTTTTCTTTATTTATTTCCGTTAGGTCGGGCATTGCGGTTCGAATCATCGCTTCCATCCAAGTGTTCTCTGCGTTTCAGGTCATGGCGGATATATTTGAATTCTCATGATTGATGAAATCAAAATAATGACGTAAGTTCTTTGTTTTATACGTCGCGCTCCTCCCATCAAAATTGTGGCGATTTTTTCGAGGTGAGGTTGAACGTGAAAAAAAAATGTTGAAGGAGGTCCCACAGGACGGCGATGAGGCAGTCGCTGCAGATAATAAACAATTGGTGCTGGCGCAGAAACAACGTTTACCAATTCAGTTGCGGTGCAAAGTACTTAAATCGGTGCTAGCAATAATGGCTAGAATGATTGATGAACAGTACCCTGTTGCACGTTGGGAGCGTAAGGCTAAACAGCAAGAGGCAGCGAATGTTGAGCTCAGGAATAAGAGAGCCATGCAGCCTGCTGGGCAACTTGATGCCCGGAATGCAGCACTCAGGTGTCTAAAGCCGGGGGGCGACCGGGAATTGAACCCGGACTTCTTGCTTGCCGGTCAGGTGTGCTATCATTACACCACGGAACTCGGGACATTTCGTCAGACCTCTCCATGTCATCTCAAATCAGTATAGTCGTTTGCGTAGCGAGCACTGTCAGGCTGTACATTTTGCTGCAGGGAGGGGACATTTGTTACACATTGGTGCCACAACGGAAAAGTGCTTCTGCTGCAACTCACAATTAACGCTCACACTGTTGTTCACTGGTGCTAATGTGGAGGCGAGACATTTTCAGGAATTATTCGTTAGTATTCTGCTGTACATGCGCTATATTCCCTTTGTGTTAAAGTCGAATAAGTTCTTGGGGAGAAGTTGTGGTGGTGGCTGTCACCGCAACGCGCGAGGTCTACAAGACTAGATTATTTTGGTCTATAGGCTAGGCCATCCACCACTCAAATCGCCAGGTCTATGAGGCTATGCTATTCTATGCCATAGACTTGGCCATCCAGCACTTTTAGCGTCAGGTTCGTCGGGCTATATCAGCATCTCTTCCATGTAAAAGAACGGCCAGCGTAGCGGCCGCAGGCCGCTAGTATCTTTTAAAACGTCTCCCCCCAAAATGTGTACCCCCAGGGCATGTTCCTGCAAAGGCGGATTTTTTCTGGACTCTGCATCCCTAAAGGAACATGTGTACCAAGTTTCAGGTTTCGAACTTCTCTAGAACATGGTTAGAATTAGCGTCAGTCAGTCCCGATCGTCTATATACTGTACTAGCGAGTTTGTTTGCCCTTCGGGCAAACAAACNATCCATGGGGTAGGCCTAGGCCAGCGAAATCAGTCCCCCAACCCCTCCCCCAAAACGTGCCCCCAGGGCATGGACCCCAAAAGTTGGGCATTCGAAGTTAGACTTTCTCTGGAATCGACAACCCATCAGCTACTCACGTTCCTTCCGTTTTTTTGAAGGCAAAGGGAGCCTGAGGATGGCTTAGGTCTAAGCGTCCGTCTGAGGGTTAGACCTAGGCTTACAAAATGAGACCCCCTGGAATGAGCCCCCAGTTCACTTACCCCCAAAGTTGGAATTTTTCTGGAGTCAGCAATCTAACAGCTATGTGTGTACCAAGTTTCAGCCTCTCATCATGTCTAGAACATGGTTAGAATCAGCGTCAGTCAGTCAGTCACGATCGTCTATATATATTAGATGTTACAGGGTGTCCCGTATGTCAGGACCCATAGGGATTTCTATTATTTCTAGAGTTCAAGTTATTTTGCTGATCGGGACCTGCAGTCACCGGCAAGTGGCCGAAGAATTCTACAATATGCATCCAGGTCGCGCACCAATCACACACAGATGTGTTGGCAAGTTGATAGTTAAATTTTTCCCTATGGGTCCTGACTTACGGGACACCCTGTAGATAATCGTCCATTCAAGAGTAGAGGAACTTTCTAGATATGTCAGGTAAGGAAGAAAAAGCATGTCCCTCCATGGCATTCTTTGGTAGTCGCGAGGGAGGAAATAGTGCTGCAGAACTTTTCTTGCTACTACATCTATATATCCACTAAGCACCCTAACCAGATTGGCTCCCTATTTCATCAAAGCCTTCAACGTATTATTTCAAAAGGGCAATTCAGAATTTTTTCTTCACGCAAACAGAATTTTGTGTTGGGAAGTGAGCGGAATGTATAGTCCACACCTAAATCGCGCTGATACGTCAGGTTCTTTGTTTTCTTAATATTTTACTCTTTTGGAAGGGATAAGGTGTGGAAAGTAGAATAATGCCCAAAAGTTCCTGAATTGATTCCTAATTTTTTTCTTCAAAACAGATTGCATTTAATGCTGGTAGAATAAGAATTACCGAGAGTGATTGTGAATTATCTGTGAAGGTAACCTCATTACATTCATATATTACATTTACACTTCAAGAAACAATACAATATCATTACAGTTGGCGTTGTCCCAAAAAGTGCTCTTATACTGACATGTATCAATGCATGAATTTTGCAAATGATCCTCACATTATTACTAACTGAGGCCTGCAATGCGTGCAGTTCCTATTCTTTACTTCAAGTTTGTTTCCATCCCACCCCATAAATTCTGGGCAACTGGAAGGATACCTCCCATTAAACTATCCAAGTGTTTACCCATGAGTGTGCCAGTGCACTGATTTGCCATCATTAATGCTCGGGTGAGGTGAAAAATTTGAGGTTCACGAATAGGAAGTATATGAGAGAGAACCAATTTCCTTATCCACCGCTCAGTACGCAAGGGAATCAGGGAAATATTGTTTTTGCAATCCGAAAAAAAGGATGGGAATCGCTGGCCCATCCCAGTGGTCTCACTATGTCCTCCACGTATCTCCACCATATGCATCAAATACTGAGGTCAACTGTCCACTTGAAGGTAGGTAATTAAGTACTTTTGGCCAAGAAAAACCTGAAGAAATATTTTCAAAAAAAGCAAATTCAAATGACTCACTGATCGTGGTTCCCCTTCGTCACACCAGAATAGAATACCTGAAGCCACTTAAAGAAGACAGTAATTGGCGTATCTCTGAGAATTTTGAGGTAATGATTACCTCACCCCAAACAGGAAATATTAGGAGACGCAGATCCGAAGGACCCACTTCTTCTAATCCAATCTGCTGCAGACCATCTCAAGAGGGTCATTGTTCTCATAGGGGAAAGAGCTTCATGTGAGTCCCAAATTGTATTATTCCTATTCCTCTTCGTCCTAGTATTATAGATGGAAATGGAAAGGGTGACCCTTGAGAAGCCTGCAACGTTTGTAGTTTCACATCTGCATATGAATTAATTCTGAAGTATGTGTTTCATATTATGAAGCTATTACTAGACAAGAAAGCATAGACGTGAGAGAATTTAGAAGAATTGGCATTCATATCGCAAAGAGAGTGAGAAGGGGCGAGGGAGAGAGCGTGCCAGAATAAAACAATAGAACAATTTGCAGCTATTTATTTCTATTGGCAGGAAATCTCAGGCAACTCAACTCATATCTCAGGTTATGTTTAAAAAATGGAGAGATATCACTGCAAAAAGAAGAAATCCCTGAGGTATATTTGGGATTCATAAAAGGATCTACATACTATCCCCACCTACCACAAGGAAGACTTGAAGCAATGTAATTTTATCTAAATGGGGGAATTCCCCTAGTCTCTTAATTTGATGTTTCACTGGCGGCACTTCATTTTGGGCAAGAGGATGCTTTACCTCATGAATACGATTTGTATTACGGAGGAGATCTATGGTAGTTGTAGAGTTACTTGTGTAGATCTTAGCAGCTAAAGGTACATTGTATGAATTAATTATTAAAGAATTTCTTCCGTATATATAACAATCTTCACAGAAAGAAACTTTTATCACTTTTAGACTTATTCTATTGTGCAATATAAATGAATCAGTCCATCAATCGGTGACTATAAAAGTGAATATTGTGAGTCAAAAGAGCAATTAACACCTTAAATGGGATTGATTTTTCTAGGGACTTTTGTTCCTTGTGGAACTGAGAATTCAAGTTGGGGATGGAGCCTGCTTTCCTGGGAAGACACCAACCAGCCAGTGCACATATTTCCAATGATGTCAAAGATGGAGTTGAAGATGGGGAAGAATACAGAGAGGAAGTTCGACAGGAAGAGGATGGAGTGGAAGAGGATGGAAAGAAAGAGAATGGAGAGAAAGAGGATAGAGATTATGAAGAGGGAGGGAATGGAGAAGGATTGGATGGAGAAGATAGAAAGGGAGTGGATGAACGGTGGGTGCATGACGTCAGAATAAATTAAAGGAGGAGCCTCGGTTGAAAATCCTCTTACTTCACAAATAATAATGATAGCTCTTGAAGGCATGAAAACCTGCAGAGACTCCTGGCATTCCTCCCTGAGAAGTATGCTAAAACTGCATACAGTGGAAACTCGTTAACTGGAATAGTGATGAGTCAAAACTCCGCTTGTTTCGAAGTTCAGTGCTTCTTTACGGCGGAATCCCGTGGTATCTCATGTGGTGAATGAATTTTGTAAACAGAGTATCGAAGTTTCTGTTGAGATGAATAGAAACCAAAGATAATGAAAAGATCGTAGCTTCTTGAAATCGGATTCTCGAAGACGGAAAAATTGCGTTCCGCTTATATCCCTTCACCCATTATTGCACGGTATTCAAGATATTAAACACACTGGAATATTTTACAAATAAAATTGGTGACGAATCACAAGTTAAAGAATGGAGAATTTTTCATAGATCCTAGATGTTCTCAAGGTGGAAGATTATCAACACTTTTAAATCATATTTTTGCCACCAACTGAGAAAAAGCTGAGTAAATACTTTTCGCCTCATTTCGCCATAAGCTTCTCACTTTTTAACCATTACATCTCATGAAAAAAGGTACTTATCATGCATTATCTGCCTCAAATGCATATTACATATTTGCCTTAGGCTACATAAAATTATACCTATTGCAGTTCTCCTATTCCGGCACATTTCGTAAATTTTTACATAACCCATAGTTGCATGAAAATGACATATATCACAACTTCATGCAAAAAATTATTTAAGTGCCGTTAAGGAAATGTATGCAAAAGTGTACATTCTTTTCCCTTACGCTTTCATATTTCATGCAGCAAAGGGTTAACTCTATAGATAATTTTTTCGAGGAGTAGAGGCAATTCTTGATGAGTCAAGCTTCAGATATCTCGAAATAATTTGCCCGGTCCTTAACGAAATTCGTGTTAACAAGTTTCCACTGTATATTCCAGTCCATATTCATACTGCGGCGTGTCTCGATCTACCGTTCATGGGCCACGAGATAGGGTAGAATACCCAGTGATGGACTGGTCCCCAGTGATGGGCCTAAGCACATAAAAATTCCAACTGCTAAGCTTCTATAGCAAGCCTACCCTTGTTGTGACGTAGGCTAGCAGCAACAAGCACATGCACATTTCAGAGGTCTTCATTCTACAAATGCCTAGTTTTAGAATTTTACTGCTACATGGTCCATCACTGGGTGTTTTAACCCTATATATTTTACTCCAGACCGCCCTGAATAGGGTACCTGTATTCACTCAGTCAGATACTATGCTAGAGGCCTGAACTGCATGTGTGTTTTCCTGCCTGACACGACCTGACTCACAGATCGTTTATAGCCACACTTTCGTGTGTGGGCGTAGAGTCTAGTTGGACAGAAATTTTGGAAGAAATACTTGAAATTCGATTTGTCTGGCTTCTGGACTTCGACCTTGGATTGAATGTTGACACCTATTCCTATATGCTGTCCCCATATTACAATACCATATGACTAATTCCCATAAAACAATTAAAACCCATCTCCATACCGACTGTTGGAAAGCTTACTTCTCGAACGCCCAATGACAAGCAAGTTCCTCCATGCACCGTAAGGAGAAAACTCCTGTCATTTTCCTATAAAACTCTTTCCCACCCATTTCCATGATGTAAATCCTCAATACCAATGCCATTAATATACAAAAATTAACCGAAAATTATCCCTTTAGCTGCGGAATGTGACTACTAACATCAAGGATTTTGCTACCATTTCCTCGACATTTTCCTCGAAAGGCATATGGTTCGAAATTTTGACATGGAACAATGATAGAAATATTCTTTTAAAAAAATTTCCCATTCTTATTATTAGCAAGCATGAATATATCCATTGCAAATGATGTCTTCTTCATTTTGCCCTTAAAGAAATCCTTGAACCATACTGCCTTCAACTTCACCACAGTCACTTCTATTACCGGTGTAAGCTTGAATTTATTGATTAGCAAAAAAAGAGTTCATACAAAGATTTCGAGAGAATGGCACTTGAACCCTATAAGTAAGACGAGATGAGCATAGAAGAAAGTAGAAGATGGGAGAAGTGCAAAGTCTGAGTATTACTGGTGATAGTATCATGGTTTACGTATATTCATTAAGATGCTTCGAGCCTACTTTTAGGTGAAGCCTACTTTTTGATGAAGCAGAAATCACATTTGAAAAAAGCAGAGTTCATTAGTGCGTTTTTATGTAGTACTAGCGAGTTTGTTTGGCCTTCGAGCAAACAAAGTCTCTATGGTAGCGCCTTTGGAGCTCCATTACCTTGGATAGTGCTTAATTCATTTTTTCTTTGCGAAATGGCAAACACGTATTTAAAGCACGTCCCCATTGAAATACGTCACGTATGGCGAAGAAAGTTAATTTTTATGAAAATCATTACTTCTATGATTTTTGGTGTGCTTAACTTGAAATCTTTTCATGTGTCCCTTTTTGTAAGAAGAATCCATTTTTAAATAATTCCCCCCTATAATCTACGCTAAGGGGACATATTTCGAAAGTATGACGTTTCCTGTACTCTGCAATCAAACAGGTACTTCTGAGAGAATTTTGAATTTTCTGTCTCTGTTTCGTTGAATCAAAAGAAAAATTCAGGAAAATGGGACTTAAAAAAAAGTGCCCTAATGGGTTATACCAAAACATTTTTTTTCTTCTGAAATGTAGACTCAGGGAACTTCATGCCACCCAGCTTCAGTCTCATACGTTTCCATTTTTGCTGCCGGTAAAAAATATGTGTTTGGAAAAGAGACCCACCTGTCCTCTGAGGAGACGCGCAACAAAAGTAGAATTTTTCCTTGAATTCATTCAATTTTCCTTGAACATCACGTCCGTTATGCGAGCGCCAGCTGCTACTTTTCTAATTCTGCTCGATTCGCTAGGATATGAAAAAAATTTTTAAAACGTTACGTCACCAAGAAATATTTTGGAAATTTGACATTTGACATTTAAGCTCAGTGCATCAGCAGTGACGTTTTTGCCAAGTTTCAGATTTTCATGTGTCTCCGTTTGATTGAAGCAAAGAGAACTATTTGAAAATATGTTCCCCGAAAAGGTGTGCCCCTATGGCATGTATCACCACATAGAATTTATCCTGAACTCATCATGCGAGTAACTACTTGTGTCAGTCATCTACTTACGATCGCCTTTTGCCCGATACTTTTTTATTTACTCATCTATCCATTAGGTACTTCTTTGCCAAGTTTAAACTTTCTAGCGCCCTCTGTTTTGCTGGATCAGAAAAATCGGGAAAATATGCCTTTTGCAAAATATGTGCCCTGAGCCGCTTTAACAGAAAAGTACTTTTTTTTTTTACAGAAATCCGTCCTCAGTGAACTACATGCCCACAAAGTTGAAATATTATATATTTGCCCTTTTTGCGGGCGAAAAAACATGTTTGGAAAAGTTGAAAGCTGAATACTCCCTCAACTCAATAATATCATGTCACTTATACGTGTCCGAAGTTTCACTTTTTCCATTTCTGTCTAATTCGCCATAACAAAAAAATTTTGTTTAAAACATCGCCTCTCGACAAAATTATCCCAGGGGATGTATAGAGACTTAATATTTTTCTTTAACTCCTTGTCTCAGTAGTCATATTCATGCAAAGTTTCAGTTTTCCATGGTCATCAGTTTAACTGATGCAAAATTTTTTTTGAAAACATCTCCCTTTGAAATTTGTGCCCCCATGGGATTTACTTCCATAGTCTGAATTTTTCTGCGGCATCCCAATAGGTAGTTATGTACCAAGTTTCATCTTTCCGCTCTAGTCCATGCCAGGTTTCAGCTTTCCGTGTCTCTCCGTTTTACTCAAGCAAAAACAATGTTATGGAGGGGAATGAGTAACGGGATATGAAAGGCCAAAGAAGCCAAAAGAAAGCCAAGCAATGGCCGGGAACTGAACCAGTACTTCCAGATTGCCTGTCTAATGTGCTACCACTACACAAACGAATCCGGGACATCCAATCAACCCTCTGAATTCCATCCTAATACAGCAAAATATATATATTTTAAGAAAACTTTTCCCCCAAAAATGTGCACCCCAAGGGTATGTACCTCCAAAGTCGGATTTTTTTTAACTCTGCATCCCAAAAGGTACATATAATGTACCAAGTTTCAGATTTCTAACCTTTCTAAAACATTGTTAGAATTAGCGTCAGTCAGTCACGATAGTCTCTATATATTAGATTCCTCTACAACATATCTAATTGTGTTTTTTGTTACTAAAAAACGTGGACTGGGACGGACACAAACAGATGAGAACAATTGCCAAAAGCGGCAACACTGAGCAGAGGCACGGGAATTCTATATCGGACATCTCTGACAGCATTGGCCCACCTTCCCACGCTTCCCGTCATAATCCTTCCCCATTTCACGGGCCCGGGGAAGGTGGTGGCAAGATCAATGCGCTCCGGCCATAGGCCTTCAATCGCTTCACATCGGGCCGCCGGGGGCGCTGTGGCGGGTTCCATTAAGGTGCACGAGGCCCCTGCCTCTCACACAATCGAGCACACAATGGCCTATGGTTTAGCCCAAAGGTGAACAGGTAGTACCCGTAAGCAGCCAGGTGAACTGTCGGCCCAGGAGAATACCGCCTGCCGCCGTTTGGATTCAAAACTATACCGCGTGCGTCCGGACCCCATATCTAATGAGCCATGGTGACGCGGTTGTAATTAGGTGTTGCTCTTGAAGTTCAAAACCTGCAGCAAATGGATTTAGCCATATCGTTCGCGCTATGTACATTGTCCACAGCACAGGCACGTCATCAGTTTTTTTAAATATAAAAATTAAACTATGAATGGCTCTCCTCACGAGTGAGAGAGATAGGGGCGTTGAAGACGTTATTGCAGGGCTTTATGGAGGAATGCATACCCAAGAAGTCCATAAAATCAGACAGGCAACCGGTCTGGCTTACGGGTAAAATCAAAGCTCTCATTAGGCATAAAAAGCGAAAATGGGATGCGCACAAACGCAAGGGAGATAGCACGGACAATGAGGAATATAGGAAGATCACGTAGACGTTGAACCGGGAAATTAGATCTGCGAGACGGGAGGGCGAGGAACGGCTGGCTAGCGATGCTAAGAGGAACCCTAAGGCTTTTTATCGGTATGCTAGAGGTAGGTGTCAACTGTCGATCGGGCGGCAAATGAACGAAAAGAGGGAGTTGCTTGCAAGTAATAAGGATATGGCCAGTATACTTAACGAGTTCTTCG